GAAAACATTGTGATGTAAGAACCTATGTTACATTAGTCTTTCATTAACTAATCCTAAGCTGGAGTCCTGAATGTTGCAGTTGCATTAAACACTGTAGATGATGATGATTTTTGTACCAAAATAAAGAGGAAACAACATTATGAGTTCAGTATCCCTTTGCCATCCTTTCTGCACCACAGACACAAGAGGACCCATCCATATGAACCCAAGGAAGAACCAAAACAGTTGCATGTAATTATGATCACAAGTGGTTTTGCTTGGTGTTTTGTTTTTTTTTTTGTGGCAAAGTAACATTTTCATAACAGTTTATAGAGTTTGCATGTTCCCCTTGTTCCTACTAAACTAATATATTTCGGTATGTGTTCCCATTTATATTAGAGTTTAAGTACTATAATAATTTTATATATATATATAGCACCTTTCAAAACAATGTTACTGTCAGGGACCAAGCAGTAAAGCATAAAGGACACAGGTGTTTTAATTCAAAAAGGGGGTTTTATTGACCCAAAAACATGAAGATATATTTAACAAAGCCAAAACTTAAACAGGCAGAGCAATAAAAGAGGTCAACTCAATAGACTAAACTCAAGATAATAATTAACAAAACCTCAAACAAACATAAGATAAACTAACCTGCTGGTTTAGCTAAACCAAATGACACACACGGGGGAAAACAAACTGGCTGCCATATAACCAACTAATACAAAACAATTAAACAAACATGAAACCCCACCCCCCCTCCACCCCCCAGGCAATGAAGCATGTGGTTCTATCCAATTAGGCTGTCAGTGATAAACACCTTTTGCCAGACAGGAGGAGAAGCCAAACCCCAGGTAAGTCAAACAAAGAAAGATGCATTAATATAACATAAAACAGAACTTTGACCTTGCAAGGTTAATATGTGTGCACGCCATATAAACATTGGAAGGCGTGATCGAAAAATACATACATTTAATAAAGAAACAATATTGAACAATAAGTAGAATATATTAAAGTAGTGACTGTAAATTAAACTAAAGTGAATCAACCCTGAAAGGGATAAGCGGAAGCGAATGGATGGATGGATGGATGAATCAACGGGTGGTGAGGTGTGGAGCTTACCATGTGTGGCATGCCATCACAGTTGCAAAGTACTTCACAGGATAACACGCAACAATAAAGAATTAAAATTAGAAAAATTGGTCAATAACCATAACTCAAATTAAACGATTATTAATATCAATTATAGACAATTTTTTGTTTTACAATACAGAAACCCCATCAGCTGGACTGATGCCAACTTCGATAGAGATCTGCATTCCTCTCATGTATGACAAATTTTACACCTCTCACTATAGTTTCACACAGCTGCTATTGGTTTGCCGCTTCCTGCTCTTCCTACAAGGTTGTCTTGTGAATTTATTACACACCTGGAGCATCAAACAGCAGCATGCAGTAGATCTCTATCACAGTAGTGCTCTATCTAAGCACATTTCAATGCTCAGCTAGAGTACAAAAGTGCTATATAAGACGCAGTCCATTTACCATTCACCACACAGGCACAGTAAACTGGACTGGACGTTAGATATTTATAAATAAAACCAATGTAACTCCTGCATTTACGCTCACCAGTTCATTTTGTTTAAATTTTAAAATGTCAACCACCCCAAAAGGATATAAGACACCTCCACGATTGTAAAGTCCATTAAGTTGGTCAGTTTTTCCTCAGTAGGTTGTCTGTTGTGAACAGTGGTGAAGAATTATCATAATTACCTAATGTTTTTTCCATCTTCATCTGCGATTAAGAGTAATAGACTGTATAGACTTATTACATTCTCTTACTGTAGGTGTCACAGTATAATACTGTTCAAATGAAAGAAACTGATTTAAGTGTAATACACAGCATGTCTCCTCCTTTTCTAAAGTGACTGTTTTTGTGTATATGGACCTTTTTTTTGGAGTTTTTACACAATACTTGTGAAAGTTGGAAATGGAACCACAAATGGTTTCCAGACATCTTGTGACTCAATCAAAATCACCCTTTCTCATTTACATTAACCACTAATATGAATAATGAGTACTACAAGTACAAGTTTTCTGATGCTGATACTGTAGATTTTTTTCTAATCCTTGCTTTTACATCTTTTACTGTATACCTGGATACTTTGCGGTAAAGTCATAATAGTTAATTAAACTGAAGTAAGAAGTAAAATTATGTGTGAAAAGTATTTTATTGAACTGGAAAGTTTTCAAGTTTTCACAACATACTTGTGTAAGTTTGATTTGAGACCACAAGTGATTTCCAAATAACTCATGACTCAATCACATGTCACACAAATCGTGATCAGATGGACAAGTGCCAAACTCAGGCACAGATCATCTGTGAAAAAACAGACTTTTAGTGCACAAAAAAAATTAAAAAATAAAAATGTGTGGCTACATTGTATCACTACTGGGATTAATACAATGAGTGAAATTACACATTAGGAGGTCCCAGTTGATCAAATAGCACCTTACAAACTACAAGACTATACAACCTGATTCATTAAATGTGACTAGTTTTATTAAATGGAGTAACTGTTGAATGCAGCCATTCAAAAGTATGTTAATTATTGTAAAATGATACTATAATACATTTCCCAGAGCTGAGAAATGGAAAGCTGAGACTAAAATCATAGTGTTTACTCCACTGAAATAAATGGTATGCTGTGTGTGTGTGTGTGTGTGTGTGTGTGTGTGTGCGTGTGTGTGTGTGTGTGTGTGTGTGTGTGTGTGTGTGTGTGTGTGTGTGAGTGAGTGAGAGAACTCATTTACTGTTTATATACACTGGAGAGCTGTTGATGAATGACCCCTTAACACCCTAAGGGGAAATTTCTGTTGCATGAAGTACATACGGAATATAAAGCAAATATTAGGACAGCACAAGCACACAAAAACAACATAACTTCTGACAGAAACCAGACATAGTATAAAACACTATACCCACTGGCTGTACTTTTAAGGGGATCAAAGACAATTCTTAATTACAACTGCAACATGGGGACATGGTCTTGGATAATTCAATAACATTTTACATTCTATTATAGGAAAATCTTGACTTTTTTAAATACAGTAAATAATATTTCATTACAGCAACTGACAATTTGACAAATATGCATATTAATCTTTTTGGGTCCCATTAAATGTTATTAGCTGTATAGCTAGGGATGTCAAACTTATTTTATATTGCGGGCCACAGTGTACAGAAATGTAACTACACTTATAATCAATTAAACATCTAATATCAGAAAAAGAAGCCCAATTTCAAAAGTATGTCTCAGTTTTTCTACATGATAATAAAATGCTGCTGTAATAAATTAAAAATATCTGTCAGCGTGACTCTATGGGCTTAAATTACAAGAAGTAAATGTTTGAAATGACAGAAATCTACCATTTAATTACTTTGGTGTTGCGTGAATGCCAATGGGGAGGTCTTTGTCAACAGAAAATGTTGTAAAAGTTGTGAAAATACAGTTAAATGTTGAAAATGTATATCCTTCACATTTTCCAAAGCCATCCAGTGGGCTGTGGAGGATGACTACATTCTGAAGTTACACGTTCAAACCACACCGTGTCAGTGTTGAACACATGGACTGTTTATATTTGGCGCATGCAACCATTCATACATTCTTTGTTTTGCACAAATGTCAGTACGCTTGCTGCACATGTCATAGTTTTACTACATACAATAAAACTTGCTTCTGCTAAATTGGCCCTGGCAGAGACGTCACTGTGTTGGAGAATACTGGTATAGCTATTATAGTATTTCTGTGCTTCTTTTATTTTTTTTAAGAGAAAAGTCCACATATCCCCACAACCCCTCGTGAATACATCATCAAGAAGTATGTTTCTAAAGACAACACTAAGTACATGTGCAACCTACTGTAAAAGTATGTCGTGATTACTGATATGAGGGCAAATGCTCACTGAGTTACCCTCTGTAAACATAAACAAATAAATTAATAAATAAATATTATGAAAAATTTGTCTTAATGTATCCTTGGAAACATATATTTTCATTAACTGCATGAACACAGACTGTGAAAACTTAGAGGGAATGTCTTGGCTTTACTTCAAGGTCTGACATTGTCCCCTGTGAACTCTCAGAATGACATTATTATTATTACTGGTCAAAACCAGTAAGTCCAAATGTGTAAGCTGTAGGAAATACCAGTTGAGGGCGCTACTCGACCACAGTAATAAACAAGACTTTTTTTTCTTTTCTGTCTCTCTGTTTTTTTCTTGTTTTTTTCTTGTTTTTTTTTTTTTTTTTTTGTCTAGGCATGAACCTGAAAACAATACTGGCAACTGTTTGGGGGCAGGAACACAAATCTGGCAGCACTCAGAGCAAACAAAACAGGCTAATCATCTAACTTACACACACCTTAGCAAATCAATAGGTATTAAAGACCTCAATCCCCAGAGTAGTTCACGGCACAAAGGCAATAAGAGATTAGCAGATAGTCTCTCGCTGATATGGTGCTAAAAAGTTAACACGATTAGCCAGCAATCGCTTTTAATCTTTTTTGATTCATCAGGCATTATGTTAGTTTCTGAAGTCTGAACTTTGCCTCTTTTTCCCCCCCGAAAATTGGGGGTTTTTGTGAGCAACTCGGTGCTATTATATTGCTTAATAACGAGATCTATACTTTTAGATCTTATGAATAAATATTAAATAAGTAATATCATGATGATAATAAAGGCTGATTTATTGCGTTGAAGGGTGTTAACACTGGAATGTAGTTGGGGGGGGTTCCTTTCCGTGAACTATCTGCACTGTGCCCAGTGAAGGATTTCATATGCGCACAAAGGTGACAATTGAGGTTTAAAATGAAGGATTTTCGAGAAATAAAGACGAGAGAGTGCGTTTGTCAAGAGACCCTTTGGCTTGCAGCCGTCGTGGGCCCTCCGTTAAAATGTAAACTACGTCACCGCTTCCGCCCCCTCCTCCTGCTATCCCTCCCCCTCTCCTCTCCCGCCTCCCTGCCCCGGCGTCGTTGGAGCTTCTCGGCCGCCTGCAATCCAACATGGAGTAGAGAGAGATGGGGCTCTAGCGGGGCCACCCCTCGGTAACAGCAGCGACGACGCGCTTTTTACGCACAACTGGAACCGGAGTCGTCGGTGAAAACATGCGCCTTAGGACTTAAAAACGGAGTGTGTGCCCTGTGCGCCCGTGTGTGTGTGAGAGAGAGAGTGCGTGCGAGTGTGAGTGAGTGAGTGAGTGTGTTTGGGCAGGGAGGGGGGTGTAATAGAAGACCGGAGCTGGATTAAGCTACAAAATTGTCCGTTCATGCTAGGTGATGGTGTGTTAAAGTTATAGTAAAGCGGGCATTCGCGATCCAGAAGAAAGAGGGTGGCTCCGGGGGTAAAAGAGGAAAATTTTAGGGGTAAAGAAGACTGAGGCGCAGCCAGTCGAAGGCAAGCAAAGAGCCGACACTCGCACAAAGGCGCAGGGGGATTTATGCGGAATTGGAGACAGAATCGGAGGAGCCACGGTGAAAGAATGACAAGCGAAAAGTATGCAACCGCCGTGGTACATTACCTGAGGTGAAACGAGAAAATGATAGAAGAAACACACCCAAACGAGTAAGTACTGGGACTCAGAAGATTTCTCTATATGTTTACTGCTCTCTCTTTTCTGTCTTTTCCCCCTTGCTTCCCTCCGTGACTACAAGTTAGAGGTGATTGGAGCAACTTGATGGAATGTGCATTCTGTGCAGATCAGTTCATGGTGTATGCTTTTTATTAATATTCTTTTTATTATTATTATTATTACGCTCAATTGGTTGGATTTGCTGTTTGATGGTGCTGTGAAGTAATGCATTGACAGTGCTGTCGAAGAGGGTTTTTAGGGCCCCCACCTCGGTGTAGACTCCAGGCTTGGGAAGGCAAGAGAGAAAGGAGAGGGGAGTGGGAGGAGGAGGAGGGGAATAAGCGTGGGTGGGTCGGAAACATTTTCTGAAAGGATCTGAAGCGAGAGAGCAGGCCCCTGTTGCAGCGTAACTTAGAAACTCCAGCACGCCCAGAAGTTACACCTTTTATAAATACACGCTCGGCGGCCAGCTCGCGAATCTTTTGTTTGTGCGTAGCTCAGAAGAAACAAACAAGCAAAAAAAAAAAAAACCACTGAGCGGCGATTGCAAGGACATTCGCTTTGTTTTTAGTCACATCTGTGTGTTTGTCTCTAACCGAAGGGGAAGTCTCACAGGATGTGAGATATCCGATATGCCTCATCCGCCATCTCTTTCTCAATCGCCCTCATTTGCATAGCCTACCACGCTCCATTCATAAAAAATAGCGATCGTAAACGTCGACTCAGCCTTAAAAAAAGAAAAAGAAAGAAGAGAGACTGGTCCGTTTTTCCTAAACTGGAAACTGGCGAAGTTGTGTTTGACATGCACACGCGGGGATCGTGCTTTTTCTTCTGCGAACTATAGCTTCTACAAAGCTGTTCACTGCCTAGGCCCACAGATACGTTCGTGTGCGAACCGATGGGCCTGTACTCAAGCGGTTAACGCTTAGAATTTGCTTAACAGCAGATTAATATGCATTGTGCTACCTTTACACTGTGTAGGCTGCAGAGCGCCAAAATATAGATTATATAGCCTGTTCCTTTTTCAATCCTGCAGCCTTGTCGGGAAAAAAAACATATGTACAGACATACGAGCAGGCCTGCCAAACTATTTAATTTACTGGCTCCTGTTTGCATTTTTACAGCTCTGTTAGCCTAGCTGTATCGTCAGCGTCTGTCTCTGTCAGTCTACACGGGGCTGTGCTCGATGGGAATGCCTGCCTTGCAAATCTGTTGAGGGGGGTGGAAGGGCGAAGGGCACCGGAGGGGATGTTTGCGCTGCGGTGGCGTGACGCCGGCTCATTCATAAAAGCCTTCTAACCTTCAGCGCGTCCCCATTCATGCCTGCCGGCCGTACTCTGCTCTACGAAGCCAGCGTATGTGTGTCTGTTCCCGGTCCCAGGGTTTGAAAGAAGCAGGGACTGCGACCAAGCCTTTGTCTCTGCTTGTCATATGTTGCCAGACACACATTTGGGGTGGTGGTGGGGTGTTAGATGCAACCAAGAAATCAAACCACGCTTTGCTGTCTTGCCTGTCTTCTGAAACTCTGCATTTCCTGTATTAACATCTGTGCTAACTGTATCTTTATGGCCTTGTTCTGAGTCATGTGTTTCTGATAAACAGCGTTCTCATGGTGTGATGGGAAAAAGCACTCAAAAGAACCGTGGCTGATTGACCATCAATTGGCAAAAGAGGCCTTTTTATGTTTTTATGATTCATTATTTTACACTAAAATGGGCAAAAAGATCAGTTAAAGTTCTTGCAGTCATTAAAACCGGCCTATATAAGCTTCTAAATGCAATAACAGTAGATTTTTTTTAGTGGCAAAGACTTTACAAAAGTGAAAATAGACGCCACCGCATGGCAAAAAAAACTGCTCAGGATCGGTTAGGGGAACACTCAAAGAGCCACAGTATTTCACAATAAACATCAGGTGGTTTTAATGTATGAACCTTTGGCTGCCAGATTTTAATTTATCTTTTGGTTTTATTTTATTTTTTCTTTTGGACTGAATTAGACTGTCTCAAAACGTCTGACAGCTGCAGATTTGCCATCGCAGTCCATATGTTTGTATCTAAATAGGAATATAGTCAAATAAAATCACCAGTAACAGGCCAAGGTTTTTTAATCCACATCTTTCTCTAATTGGCTTTTTGTTGCAGTAATAACTTTATTCTGCACGGTACAAAATCTCCTTTTTTGTATTGTTTTTTTTTAATGTGAACCACTCGGCTATGTGGCCTCATAAAGGTTTTTATTGTCCAGTTACTGGAAGGAAGTGATCGGCTGTTGTTATCTGCAACTTTGCGTGTTGTGGCTTTCTTATCAGAAATTACACCTTTTGTGGGATTACAGGTGTGTCAGGAAGTAAGACACACCTTTTTATGTCATGTTGTGCAGCATTGTCACTGCTTCTTTTACAGCTTCAGTTTTATTGTGCGTCTTTAGCTTGTCTTTGTTGATCCATGCTATGGACATGGTCACATGCCCATGTGTCAGCCTACTATCAGCAGGCATTGTGTTTAGTAGCGCACACACATAGTTTTTGAGAGGATCTTTTGTTGACTGCATACCTTAAACTATAATGTCACTATCCTCTTTGGAGGATGTCCCTCTTTTGCACCGTCCTTCTGGGGACATTTATTACCTTTTATAGAAGTAGAAGCTCTCCCCTGCACCGAGAGTCACAACACGAGCCGAGGACGTATTGATCTAATGTGAGCTGCTGCAGGGTCAGCATGTGCACAGTCAGTATTAGACAGGAGATGTCCAGTGACATTCAGAGAAGGTCAACGTAGCATCGAAATATAATCCCTGAATAAAAGCACTCATCAATTGACCAACCCAGGCGTTAGCAGGCCTGCACGTTCCCCCAGCAGGATTGTTCTGTTCCTCGCACATAATGCTTTTCTCCATTAGCAGCATTCGACATAACAGAGTATAATTAACCTGACAGGAGTTTTAGGGCAAAGCTCATCGCCAAAAACAGAGTAGAGCTAAGGTTAAGATAAACCATAAGAGGTGTCCCCACTAGCACGTTTCATTAGTGCATGAACCGTAATTAGTCATGTTGGAGCTGCACTTTTGTAACAAGTGCACGTTATGTTAAAGAAATACTGCTTACACTGTTATGAAACCTATTTTGTTGGCTGTACATGTTACCTCAGCTGGCCTTGTCTCTTGTTTTGTAATTCAATAAACGAGAACACTCTCAGATAGGTAGTTAGTGCAAGCTTTTTAAGAAAGCTCTAGCTTTAAAGTCCTGCTGTAAAGTTCAACATTTTAACACCTCGATTGACTCGCATTTTTAGTTAGTTTGCCCTGTGGCCTTTCAGGGAACTACAGGGCTGTTTTGGCATGTTTATTTGGGCTGTTTGTTTGTTTTTTATGGAAGTTGAAATGTAATGTATTTATTGAGGCCTTTGTCTTTTGTGTGTAAATTGACCTTGGGTTTCTCTAAGGATGCTATATGATTGTTATTATTCATGGAAAGTTGTTTCTGCCACTAAAAAAAAGTAAAAAATAAGTTGAAATTTTGAGACACATAACTGAAAATTTAGACTTTTTATTTCTTTTCTTTTTTTAGTATTGGAAACAGACTTTCATATTTTTACCCTCAGAGGTTGCCAATGAATTCTAACATGATGAACACAGTGAAAGGGTATATTTTACACAAAGTAGGATCTTTTTGTAATTTCAACCATAAAATGCTCCTAGTTCAGACTTAACTTTAATGTGTTTGTGCCATTCACCCTACCTGCCACCTAATATGAACTTTTTCTGCTCTTTTAAGTGGAAAAGCTCATGTATGTCGCTTTAGGAATGCTTGCAAGGGTTGTTTCACACTGTATCCGTCATTTACCAGTAAGATCACTAAACATCAAAAAGTTCTCCGAATGTGTTGCAGGATTTATTGCAGCGAGGGCAAAACTCAAACAGGAGACTTTGCCTCCATGTGTTGGGAGTCACTTTGCATTGCCTAGCAAGGCTTTGTTTGTTTGTTTGTTTCATTTGGAAATTTTTCTGTTGGTATTTTAGCATGCTTGGACGCATTCTACTGTCAAACTTGCATTGTAGATGGCTAACTGGTCTTTCATGTATACAGTGTTTTCATATACTGTAACAAGAGTACATAAATATAACAAAACAGTCTGGGAAGCATGCATAGACCGACCAACTCAGTGGTGGGAAAGAAACTCAGATGGGCTTGATTAGCAGCTTCTCTTTAATGCTATGTTAGAACAGCAGAAACACGATAATATCCTAAAATAAGAAATACTCTTTGTATTAACCAACCTGCAAGACAGATGCAGTCCTTTGAGTATCATTGTTAGTACAGCGGCAGTTTATTTAGGTTCATATCTGGGTAAATATCAAGTCCACATATGTGGATACACATAATTAACATAATAACTTCCTTTACAGACCTTTTGCATTTCTTCTTTCAGTCTGTACTCCCTCTGCACGCACACACATATGCACACATCATGTGGAACAGATCCCTTTTCACAGTGTTTCCTGTGTTTTACAGGGCAGCTCATCACTGGTTGCTATCCGGAGCCTTTATATAATGGCCCGAGCTGTTTATATCGAGAGACTAAACAATGGAGCCGGATTGTTTGTCTGTTTTTTTACTAATCTCTGCTCATCAGCTGACTAGATGACCAAGATTATAATAGCTCAAGTTTTCATTCACTCCACTCTGTGTTTTTCGCTTGTCACACCACATGTAGAACAATCCATTGGGCTGGTTACTGAAAACACTTCTTCTCAGTGTGTGAACCCTGTGAACTCCCATTTCGTCAATAACCACTTTACGTTCGTGCTTAGTTTGGTTTGGTATTTCATTACCCTAATAATTTACTTAAATCAACACAAACAGTGCAGTTTGCATGCATGCAGTCGGTTATTTTGTAGATAAATAAAACTGTACTGTGGGTTTTCTGTTATCCTGGCTGATTATTAATCTCAAACCTGTTGGCATTTATAATTTAGCTTTTCGTCTACCAGTGCC